AGTTGTTAATGACAGCATCCAAGTTCTCAGCTGCCCTGATTGTTTCTTGGGAAACATGAGCATCTTCACACAACTGCACTAAGCTCACAACATCTTGAAGGTCCGGGATGAAACGTGCTGCATTGCTTGAGCAGTGAAGCCCACCAGAACGTACCAATCGAACATAACCCATGGCATTTCCTGAACAACAATATCAAAGTGTTGAAAAGCTTTTCCCAATTTTTTTTAATAAGACACAATATTTCACTGAGGAGAATGTATATTCCTCCAAAGGATGCAACATCACATAAATTATACTTTGCAGAAAATAAATCATCATTTATATCTACCAATATGAGTAAGAAGTCCTCGAAATTGGTCCAAATATGATAATCCTTCTGGTGTCAACCCCAGTTTCCGGATACCACGATTGAACTTTTCAGCTCTCTCATAGGGGAAATACTCTTGACTGACTTTAACCTGAAATGAATAGAACCAATTCCTTTCATTTATACAATGTACAGTGGGTATATTTCACCAATTACTCTACACAATTGTACTGTACTGGCAGTTACATGCTAAGGAAAGCTATGCAAACATGAGAACTGCCAGGTAATTTCCTGGCAAAGCTGGTTTAGGTGTAAGGAAGGACCATGAATGAATGTATCTGATGTGCTATGAAAGTCTATGGGTGATGAAGAAAATTTTGGATGAGGAGAATACAGCTGCTACAATTGTGGATTTCAAAGAACCACAGAATACCTAAAACTCATGGATCTGATGAACTACCCTGTTTCTAATGTATGTACAGTACTATGTAAGGTAATTTTACAAAAAACTGATGAGGATTTCCAGAGACCATGCAGTATGAGAGGAATGTATGTTATGAATGTTTTGACACAAATGCAAAAATTCACAAAGGTTGTAAAATATTAGCATTGTTGTTTCATATCTTGATATTTAACTGCACCAGCACCTAAGTTAATGACTTATTAATTTATCCACTACTGCGACAAGCACTACTACTATTACAGGCATTTCCCAATTTTCTCGAAGACTCCCATTACAAAAACTGAGATATGTTCTCATGGAAAAGAAACTTCCCCAAAACATCTTAAAATTCCATAAAACAAATTCTTAATGGTAATTTTTGGTGCATACAATGACTATAAGCCAAACACAAACATAATACAGTAAATGTAATACCATATGTATATAGTACAGGGGGCCCCCCTAAATTCGCGAGGGTTAGGTTCTCAAATTGGCCGCGAATCACCAGATCCACAAGGCACACGGTGAGGCGTACATTTTTACTTGTGTACAAAGAAATGTAAATTCCCTTTATGTGTTTGCCCTTAAGACAATTATTTATTTTACCTGTAGTATTGTATATGTGTGTGTGTGTGTAGACACACTCACACACACACAAAACACATACAAAGAAATAATAATTGGAAAATCTACTCACAAACTTATTAAAAATGTATCTACCATCAAGTCCGTGCTCTATTAATAAAGTTCTGCAATAGAGCATGGACTTGAGGGTATACTGTCACATTTTTAATAAATTTGTTTCTGATTATTTATGAGAGGATTTTCCAATTTATTATTTATTTGTACGTGTTTTGTGCATGTGTGTGTGTGTCTACACACACACACACACACACACACACATATTTACAATACCTGTATACAGGTAAATGAAATTACTGTCTCTAGAACGAATGGCTCCCTGTCCAGCCGCAAAAATATCGGCAACATTAAAACTACCCACAGACATTCTTGGGTACATCCAGGGTGTCATCCACGAATAACCGAGAACTGCGAAGTAAAAATTAGCAAACTTGGGGGGGGGGGGGCTGTAATAGTTTTATACCTGTACTGGAAAACTGGATGAGATTTGAAACAAAGTGAACAGCATGAAACACAAAACCAACATCTATAAAACATATATAGCGACCCCTCGTTTAACGAACGCCTCGGTTAACGAAATTTCGGTTAACGAACTGCCTTCCATAAGGATCTAATTCAAGCAAAATTTGTTAACGAATTTCTTAATGAACCGACCTCAACATATTTAGCTTGCACTGACCGGGCAACCAGCTTTAGTATCAGTCCGCCAATACATTAATCGGTTCTAGGGCTTAAATTCCTTACTATTTTAGTAAATATCAAGAAGTTTATACTATTCAATAATTTTAAAAGTTTAATATTCAATTTTTTAGTCATTTTAACAATTATTGAACATAATTGAAGGTAAAGTGACTAGTTTAATGCGCGGCATCCAGCCTCTTAACACAGCAAACAGGAGTTAGTCTCTCTCTGTTTTCACTGGAGGTAACATCTTGCTTGAGACTCTCTTCAACTAAACGCTTTTTTTCTGTGTTTCCAAGCAAATTATTGGTCATTTTGAAATATATTTTACATATTGACAATATATAATGCAGTGCAGTGTTGATTTAAAGAAAATAATCTTGAATTACACCAGAGAGCTAAAATTTTATGGGTGAAATGGCGCCATGGGGTGACTTCTCTTCCACCCCAATGCCTTCTCTTCTTCCTTCTCCTCCATTCTAAATCCCATCATCATCATCATCATCATCCAGGAGCCTTCTACATACACACCTCAAAGTAAGTGAACTTTTCTACCATTTTTGTTGAATTTAGGAAATTTTCGGTGAGCTGGAACCAATTACCCAAAAACCCATTGAAACAATGGTTTCGGTTAACGAACGACCTTCTGGAACGGATTGAGTTCGTTAACCGAGGGGTCACTGTACAAGTATATTACTGTAGTAATACATTGATTTTCATTCTATAGCTGTAGGTACTGTACATTCAAGAGCCTGTGTATGCTCATCGGTGTTTGCTATGTTTGCCAACAGTGTGTAACATTAATAACCGACCACCTGAATAACAAACAAACCAGCCAGTGGGGAAGAGGATAAAGTAAGGTAAATCCACCTCATGCTGATGGGGGTGGAGTAAATCCACCTCATGCTGATGGGGGTGGAGTAAATCCACCTCATGCTGATGGGGGTGGAGCCAACGGAACAAAACCCATTATTACCTCTCGCCAGTGTTGCAGGTCCTTCAGCAGGCGAGACTTGATATGTTCATCATACAGGAACTGAGAGAAGACGTGAAACTTTCGCCGTAGGAATTGATAAGTGAAGTTTACCTGTGAGAAGTATAAGGTTATCAGGTCACTGTAGTTATGACACTGATAATAATAATAATACCAGTTTTTATACTCTTGTACAATGATTCACACAGATTCAGAAACTTTAGCTCAGACAATTACTCAAAATTTTCTATGGATAATCAATTATTTTTACAGTATCAAAATATATATACGTACACATGGAGTATATTTAACTCTTCTAAAAGTACACTAGTTTTCATTCATTATTAAAATGTATACAATGACTTTTCACTCAAAAATAGAAAACTATCTCAAAACATAATTTCTCTGACTGTCCTCATCAAGTCCAAGATCAACCACATAAGACCTAAACCTAATATAAACATCGTCGGAATATTACTTGTTAAGAAATAATACTGATCACCATAGTACAGTAAAGGAAGGTTAATTACCATATATCAATAGGTGTAACCAGGTACAGTAATTATCAAAACAACTTTAATTCATACTTAGTGAGGCTCAACTGTAAAATATCATCACCACATAGATATTCCTGTACCTGTACCACACACCTAATTATGTACGGGGTTAGTACTTGTATTAATATTCATGAATACAGCACATGAATATACAGTCTCTCCTCGACTTACGACAACCTGGACATACAACAGCCATGGTCGTATAAAATATTTTTCACAGTACGTATTTTCGAGTCCCGATGTTAGTGATCGCGCTGTGTACTGACAAAATTTTTGTTTGTAATTCCCTTTAAAATGGCTGGCAAGCATAAAAGTGAGAGTTCTCGTGGAGCTGAGAAGAAAAAGAGACACCCATTTTAGAATTTATATGCATTATTTTGCCTTTTCGACTTACGACCCGGTCGTCGGGACGGAACCCGTCGTAAGTCGAGGAGAGACTGTACTGTACTGAAGCCCAATAACACAAAAGCTCTTACTGTGGTATTAATGATGCCTGCTCCATGTGTTCGGATGGAATTGGCAATGTGTTTGATGGTGACAGTGCTGAGGTGTTTGTTGTTGCTACTGGCCTCCACAAAGAACTGCTGGTTCAAGTTGTACAGGTAATGCTGCACAAACACGTGAATATTGCGCATAATCTCCAGAACATCAACACCCTGTCAAAATTATGCCAGTAGTTAAGTGGTAGAATGGAGAACAAGACTGAAATGAGTGATAAGACATAGTAACATACAAATAGATACATATGAAGAAATATATAAATACAGATAGACACAGGCCACACAACTACTGTACTGTATACTATACAAAGATAATGTCCAATGGTCAAGTGGACTGACAGTGATACATTAGGTGAGGAGGGGTCTTGTTGGATGAATATAACTCTACTAAGTCTTTGACATGAATCCCTCAGATACCAATGACCATAATCCATAAAAGCTTTGAATAAATTAACTGAATAATTTTAAGACATGAATCTTTAAAAAAATAGAAAAAAAAAGGCCAAGTATCCCATAATGATACAAGTCAATATTCCCTTCAAGGGCATTACTTTGCATATCAATGACCTTCATCCATGATTTTTTTTTAATTATTTGCTGATGAGTTTTTTATGAAAAGTACTGTACAGTACAGTAATTGATTTTTGAAGTTTTCTCTACAAATCTCCCCATCACCATAAAGAATAAATTCTAGGGACAATTAATGCCATTCACCACAACCTTTAACTTATCCGAGGTTATGACATGGTCATACAGCAACCGTTCAGTATTCCACCAACAACAACCATCGTAGACCAACACCACAATACCTGTCTCAAACAGAGAGGGCAATTCGTCGGCATACGTAATGCTGGGTTAAGTATCAACGAGATTGCAAGGCAGATGGGAGTCTCGAGATCAACAATGCGGTGTTGGTTACAGCGGTTTGAAGAGTCTGGTAATTTAATATATCTTTCCAGATCAAGACGGCTTAGACTGACCAGAGCAGCAGACTATGTGAGGATTGTGGCAGACATGCGCGACCATCCTTTCACCAATGTGGTGGCCACTATGGAGCAGCTGCACTTGGAGAGTTAGGCAACGACTCCATGGAATTGGGATCCACCACAGGGTTTCTGCTGTCAAGGAAAGGTTCGAAGAACAACACTGGGTTAGGGGGCTACAGTTCCCAGAGCAGTATGTGGGGGAGGACCTGGACTTCTGGGCAACCATGGCCGTCTTCACTGCTGGAGACCTGTTAACACCCGTTACAACCGGCAACATGTTTATCAGGAAGCCAGGGGCAGCCACGTGACCGTAAACATGTGGAGTTGGATCAACCGTAACAGTGAGGGCGAGTTGGCAGAGATAATATGTTTTTTCCTTCTTTTTGTATTATAAACATATAGTTTTTTTTTGTTTAGAGGCAACATGTTTTCTTCCTATCCTCATGTGGAACACTTTTATTTCACCAAATATTTAATACTCAATTAAACTTAAGAGTGATATAACATAGTTCACTCGAACCAATTTTACCAATTGGAACATAGAGCACACTCCCAAACAAAGTAACGCTCAAACAGTGTGTGTGTGTGTGTGTGTGTGCACATCAGTCAGGGAGGGGGTGTCCACATCATGTTTTCCGTTCTCTTTCAAATTACCATGGAACCCTGTAATATGTAAAGTTAATATATCAAATGTGGCACCTCATTATACTAAAAATGGTAGCCATTGAAATGTGACACTGATGATATGTAGGAACGAAAGGAAAAATTTACTTGAGCACATCACTCCTGCCGCCCTGCTGTCTGGAACCTTCAACAACCCTCTCACCTATCAGCAACCATCTCTCCTATTAGGAACCCTCTCTGCTATGACTTGAAATTGAGTTTCTCTTTATGCAGCATATTTGATACCTGTCCTCCTGACACTGACATAAGACAACTCTTATCACCGATACATGGTGTAGTTGAAAGAGGATGTGCACATAGACACGACATAGAATGGATTGTTCACATAATCAAGGTGTCTAGCAGACGGTGTAGAATGATGTGTGTATGATGGTGGTGGTGGTGGGGGGGGGGGCACACATTTCGTTTGTGCTCACAAAATACATTGGTTCTCGTCATTCAATGTAGGTCATAATAATTATTAATTGGTTTGTTCCTGACATTGCTGGCAACATGGCAATCTAGGCATGTAATGTGCCCTTTAAACCACAGATCGAAGCTTAAACTATGGGCCCAGTAGTTCCATCATGTGTGTTCGTGCGTGTGTCTCTCTGACGTTGCCACTTAGCCAGGTTAGGCAAAACTGCCTGGCACAGGACTTTTAGCCAGGACTGTACATGCACTGTATACTGTACATACAGTACACCCTCTACACACTAATCTACAGTAGGCATACACTGTCCACTCTCTTCTATTCAGTACTGTACAGTACATATGGTACTGTACTTTAACATTTATTGAATGTAAAGTACACTACTGTACAGTATACGTAACTGTAATCACTTATTACTTCTTAACACTACTTTTAAGGTCTTCTTAGATGATTATATCCTGATACATTAATGTACAGTACTGCACAACACAGATCGCATGCAGAAACAGAACAGCAGTGAGCAAGCGAACATGCATGTACAACAGCAGCAGACAATGAATTAAGTGTGTTTAAGGAGATAGGCTGTGAGGTACATCAGCCAATCATGGCATCCCATGCAGTCACATGACAGAAGTGGCCAAATGTAGCTCACGGGCACTCTGAGCCTACCCACCCACACAACCGGCACGCCCCCGTGTCGGAAATGTGATGCAATCTTTCAGAAATTTGTTCCCATGCCCGGAACGGAGAGATTTTCACAAAATTTTCTGGAAACATGCAAGATGCAATCCCCGGAAATTCGTTAGGATACCCTGATTGAAGAGATTTTTCCTGGAATTTCTCGTAATGCAAAAAAAAATAAAAATAATAATAATAATAATAATTCCAACTGTTGGAGAGTTCCACGCATTGATGATTCTGGCTAATGGGGAGATTACTGTAATATAAATAAAAAAATCTCGCCATTGACCCCTTCAATTCTATGTCATCCATCCCTGAAGATTTCTAAAATACTCATCATCCTTACTAAAACATACTCATACTGTTGAACAAACAGATTCCTGTACAGTAGAATGTCAGTTTAAAGCGATTCAATTTAAAGCAACACCCACAATTAAGGACAATGTTTTAATTTAAAGCAAATCTTTCCTATTTTGAACGGGTCAATCTGGCGCATCATATTTTAAAATTCGCGCCTAATGTTTCTCTGGGAACGCGAAAGTGTCCTAAGGGCAAAGCTGTACTGTACATGTACTGTACTCAAAATAATGTAATAAATGATTACTAAAATTTTTGTCAAGTGCAAACTATAGCATGATTACTGTATATTAAAATTAATCATTATCTTATAAGAATTCCAGCAATGTAAATTATATTCTACTCGGTCACTTCTGTGACATTTTATAAACAAAAAACAAAAACTCAATCTAAAGGACATAAATAAGCAAATAAATACTTCACTAGACCTTCAGCCCCAACTGTCAAACATGTCACTGTCACCTCCCCTTCCTCCCTCCCTCCCAGGGTTGGGTGGTTATAGGCTTACAGTTTTTATCTTATATAATATCACAGACTAAAGTTAGGAGAATATAATCTGTATTGCTAGAATCTTTGCAAGACAGAGGATAATTTTAATATAAACGTCATATATTTTGCACAAGAGAGTAAAATTTTAGCCATTTGTAATAAAATTAATTAGAACATGTCAGTTCAGTGACATTTTAGAAGAGAAAAACTTAAAGTCACTCTTATGGACAGATAAATAAATAAGCACTAGACCTTGGCATCAAGTGTCAAACATATCACCTCACCCCCCATCTTCCCATCAGCTGATCGCTAGTAAACAGACCATTTTACGTCCCAAAATTTTAGCTGTGTTGATTTATGAGTGTTTCTTTTAACATAATACTACAAAAAACAATGTTTTGTTTATTCTAGGAGGTGGGCTGAGGTGCATCTGGGTAGACTCAGTCTTTTTAGTATTTTGTGTTTCTCTCAAGTACAGTCGGCCCTTAACATACGCGGGTTTAGCATACACGGATTTGCAAATATGCGGATTGCCCCGCCGGAGGAATATTCTGTACATTGAAGTAATTGAAGTACATTCAAATCGGGCGCCATTCAACTCGCGCGTGGCACCAAACACAGGACACCGCCCGCTCCCGCAACCTCACACACACACGCATAGCTCTCCCTCACTCAGTCAGTCTCGCTGTAACCACACTTGTGTTGACATCAGCATTGTAGTTGCAAAAATATTACATTTCCGTGAATGTATTATATCAAGCACAGTATGAATAGAATATCACTAGTATTACAGTATTTCAACCGAAAACTATTAAAAAAACGAGTAACATATCTTGAACATCGGAAGGTTAGGTAAAGTCTTTTGCTTTCATGTAGTTTATCCTAATTTACATTGAAATACAATACGTTTCAGCAAAACTACTATTTATTTCTGAGAATATGGAAATGTAATATTTTTGCTGAAATGACATACGTATTACAGTGGAAAGTGGCGAAAGCAATGACTTTCGCTTTCTTTCGTTCAAAAGTTGTTACCGTAATCGCTTTTCGAATGGTTTTCAGTTAAAAAACTTTTGTATTACAATAGTATTCTATCCTAATTCACTTGTGATGCAACAGTTTTTTAAACTGAAAATCATTCGAAAAGCGATTACGGTAACATCTTTTGAACGAAAGAAAGCAAGTCATTGTTTTCGTCACGATTTTATCCCACTTTCCACTGGAATACGTACGTCATTTCAGCAAAAATATTACATTTCCGTGAATGCATTATATCAAGCACAGTATGAATAGAATATCACTGTAATATAACAGTATTTTAACCGAAAACTATTATAAAAACGAGTAACATCTCTTGAACATCGGAAGGTGAGGTAAAGTCTTTTGTCTTCGTCATGTATTTTATCCTATTTTACATTGAAATACATCACGTTTCAGCAAAACTACTATTTATTTCTGAGAATATATTCATTCAGCCACAGTTTAGGTAAAATATACATGTGATGTAACATTTTTTTAACTGAAAATGATTCGAAAAACACGTACCCTCTAGCCCTGTTCAAGGAGAAGACTGGGAGGAGCTGTTTGGTGTTGAAGACGATGACAAGGAAAATTATTTTGATGGATTTTTATGAAAATATTCAGAAATATGGTAACGTAGTATTTGTTCAAGTGAATTAGGATAGAATATTATTGTAATACAACAGTAGTGACAATGTGGAGGAGGTGGAGGGATAGAGCAGGGAGAAGGCGGAGGGATAGAACGGGGAGGTGACTGGCGGGAGCAGGGACGAGTGGAGATGCCAGCCAGTACATTACGGGTGTATTAATTGTTTTTATAGCTATTTTTGCATTTTAATATTAAATACTGTACATTACGTTTCAACAAAACTACCATTTATTTCTGAGAACATGGAAATGTAATATTTTTGCTGAAATGATGTACGTATTACAGTGGAAAGTGGGATAAAATTGCGACGAAAGCAATGATTTTCTCTTTCTTTCGTTCAAAAGATATTACTGTAATCGCTTTTCGAATGGTTTTCAGCTGTGGGATTATAAGGCTAATGATAGGATAGAATATTATTGTAATACAGTACGAGTACAACAGTTTTTTAACTGAAAACCATTCGAAAAGCGATTACGGTAAAATCTTTTGAACAACGAAAGAAAGCGAAAGTCATTGTTTTCGTCATGATTTTATTCCACTTTCCACTGTAATATGTACGTCATTCCAGCAAAAATATTACATTTCCATATTTATTTCCGAGAATATATTCATTCAGTCACAGTTAAGGTAAAATATACTTGTGATGTAATATTTCAATGAAAATACGGTATCGTAGTTTTCTTTTGTTTCAAATTTAATTAACAAAGATTGATGTTTCAAATGTAATGAACAAAAATTTATGTACAGTATCTATAAATACACTTTAATAAATGAATACTTTATGTTTTACATCGTCCTGTGCTACCATACCATGGATTTGGCTACTTTGGGCTTGCTATGATGACGCAAGAGATGTGCCCTGGCAACTGTACCGACACTCACAGCTGGTGGTGCGTTGGTGCATCGTTTCCATTGTTTACTGGTAGTTACTGGTAAATATTTTTCAACCTAACGAAACTATTACCCGTTTAGAGGTCAACCCCCAATTTTTTGCCAAATAATTTGGTCTTAAAAACTCGAACTACACACAGGTATATACGGTAAATAAGGACATGGGGGCAGCAAAAATACACGGATTTTTAACATCCACGGGTATCTCTGTTCCGTAACCCCCGCGTATGTTAAGGGCCGACTGTACCAAACTAAATTATTCCATTGAAACAACACTAAGATTTAGTGCGAATTCGGTTTAAAGCGACCTCTCTTGGAACGTATCTCGTGTTATATCGACGTTCTACTGTAGTCCTCTCGATAATCCAGTTCATACAACTAAAACACAAACGACTACAGAATGCCAACTTTGTGGATGATACCTGATCTAAGGTGTGAGACGGCAGGTGTGACGGTACAGTAAATATGTTGTACTTGGAAGCTGCCAGGTTTCGCATTTCCTCATAGGTTCTCCAGTCATGGGGAGCCACAACAGTCAGGGCATAGAATGTCCTCTCCAGATATTGCTCAACATAGTCTAAAACATATAAGAATCACCTTAATAAGGTACTAATGCAAATAAATAAAATAAAATAAAGTACAGGGGGGTCCTCATTACATGCCAGGGATATGTTCCAGAGAAAAATTACTTATAGTGAAACATTTTATAATGATAATTCACTTCCCACTCTTATTAAGTCTCATTTTATAGATTATTTTCTTTATTTCTAAATTTAATTAGAAATAACGTATACCAATACAGCGCATAGTGAGGACCCCTATACAATAATAAACAACAGCTTGAAATGGAAAAAAAAATTCCTTCTTCACACAGTAGCTATAATCATGAGCAATGTCATCAAGGAAGTGACACACAATTGCCAATCATCTGGATCCTAGTGACTTCAGCTATTACAAAATGTCCAATAAGCAGGTTCAGTACAGTACTTGTAGGAGCTATCATAAAAAGTCTTACTCTGAAAACTTTAGTGTTTCATAGGTCCAACATGTGATGATACCTGCAAAACTTGTTTATTTATATGGAAATAATGTATAGCTATAATAAAGACATTGCTTACCTTTTACTGATATGACAGAATCAAGCAGACTGAGCGGCTGTAGGTACAGTAACGGAGAAACATCCTTTAATGGAGTCTGGAAGGGGTTGCGGTTATCTAGCTGAAGGTGGGAGTGAGTGCTCAGTCGTAACTCTGTTTCTACAGCTTGACAAGTTTTATCCAGAACCTAAAAAAGAAAACAAAACAAAAAGATCTATGAGATTAAATGTCACACTTTAAATCCTAATACAGTACAGTATAGTATAGTACACAGTTTAAAGGTTAACTCCTGAAAAAATGGGTACAGTCGCTCAAAAAAGTATCTGAAAAATATTGTTCATGACAATATGACACATCAGACGTATGTTTTGGGGAAATGGTAGAGGACCAGGCAACAATGCCCAGACAACAGGGGTTGTATTATTCATTTTAACATCCATTGGACCTCACTTTTCAGATACCTTTTTGAGCGACTGTACCTCATGAAGATTTGGAACCCCATATTACAGTAAGTCCTCACTTAATGTCGTGGTTACGTTCTTGAAAAACACAACGTTAACGGAAACTATAACAGAATAAATTTTCCCCATAAGAAATAGATAAAATACGCTAGTTATGTTCCCCAGCCTCCCTTTGCCCCATAAAATACATTACATATACATAATTTCAATGGAATTTTTATAGAAAATAGTATACTGTATATTATACATCCCAAAAGATAAATAAGCTAAATCATTTTGTATTGTACTCAGTGATGGGCAGAGGTGGTGCGAGTGTGTGGTGAGTAGTGGAGGGGAGGGTGGCGAGTCATTGAGACCTCCATTTTCATAGCAAGGCTTATGGTCTAGCATTGCTTCTTCACAACACAAGCATCACTAGCACTTAATGGGCGCTTTCAAGTAATTTCGAATGGTTGCAGTACAGAATTTAGAGCAAAAACACTTAAACATGCATGTACTCTGTGGAAGCCTAACAAAGACTGGGGACGCTGTGATGCTCCGCGAGAGAGCGTAGCGCGGCAATATGAGAGAGGGCGATGTTTCATACAAAGTAGTCCGTGACGACGTTATAACGAATCGGGCGTGACGTTGTCGGAATCATGGGTATCTAAAGAGTAGCGACGTTATAACGAAACAATGTTGTCGGGGGCAACGTTAAACGAGGACTTACTGTACTTCATCTCATGATTAAATACCCTAATACTAAGCTATCCTATCCTTACCTAACCTCTCTCAGGTAATGTTAGTGGTGAAATATATTGTGGTTCCTAATCTTCATGAGATCCCAAAATGCTATTCAAAATTATTTTTTAGATCACATCTTATCATTATGCAGGAGAGAGATTGTTGGATACTACTTTTGTTTTTGGTCATTCTGATCCACAAACTGTGGAAGCAATTTTGAGTAGATTGGTATTTAAAATTTTGTACCTCCAATCATACAGCATGGAAGGTTGATGCTAAGTTTTTATACAGTGTGTTTTTACTTTTTTTTAAGAAAATAAAGAAAAGGCAAGTTATAATACCCTTAAATTATTTGTTTTGAGTTATTTTACCCAAGACACTCATATTTTTTACAGTTAAAAGAAGAGCGTATGCCATGGACTTTCTGGATACACATGACTAATGTGTAATACTGTATAAGTAATATATTGATAAGAAACAGACCAGATGTAAGTTGAGAGAAAGTACAGTACATGTAACTATATAATCAACAATACTAGAATCTATCATTATGATTCACACAAAAGTTTGTTTCTAAAGGAAAAAGTTGCCATAAAACATACAAACTCCGAAGTAACTTACACACTCCTTGATGTGTAAATAGACCTCGTCCTTGAACTGGCTTAACAGTTGGTCTGCAGAATCAAGATGACAACATTTCTCTAGCTGGATGGCACAATCTTGTACTGCTGCCAGCATAAACTGAATTGATAGAGGGACAATTTAGTCATTCTGTACAGTGTTGTCTTAATATACAATGAATAGAAATACTAACTACAGTAAAGTGATTATTAATGATTATTACGTAGCACAGGCAGTCCCTTGGTTTTGAACGAGTTCCATTCCAGGGAATGTTCTTAAATTGAAAATGTACGTACCGTATGTCGAAACACATGCTATGTGCATACCATACTTACAAGTACAGAACAATGTTTAAAAATCCCACTATCAAAGACTAAGTCCTTACATACTGTATATCTAAAAAATTACTTAATTTAAGAGAAAAGAAGAATTAGAATGACAAAATACAGTAATGAAAGTAAAAAAAAAGTCAACAGGTACATAAAATACTGTAAACTTTAAGTTTAACCTCGTTCGTATCGGCTGATGTTCGTAAGTCGGACGTTCGTAAACCAGGGACTGCCTCTATTGGATTAGGGTGTGTAATACTCTCTGGCACATAGGAAAGTCACATACCATTATAAAGTACAGTAAAACCTTGATAACTTGGCACATATGGGGCTGTAGCCCTACCGAATCATCCCAAATTCTGATTCATCGAGGCACTTCCGACCCCCTTACAAAAATACAACAATAATTTTTTTTTTGCCCATAAGTAACACTTACTGGCACTCCAGGCATTGAAGCATTGTAGTAGGTGAGAGGAATGGTAGGTGACACAGAGGCATGATAGGTAACGCAGGGGAATGGTAGTTCACGCAGGTGATGGAGGGGAAACACTACATAAACAGTAAACAATTTGGCACTTATGTATACTTCTGTAATTTGGTCACTTATACAAAATAAAAAATAATAATTTTCTCTACGTATAATTCAAGTCTGAACACTGTATGTAAATAAACATATACAGGTACTCCTTGACTTACGACCTACTCGACTTGCGACCACCCGGACATACGACCGCCGCAGTTGTACCAAAAAAAATCTAATTTCATACGTATTTTCTAGTAACAAAATGTTTCCATCCCGTACGACAGCATGGCGTGGGCTGGGCCACCTCGTCATGTACAGTGTCCACGTCGTAGCCCGCTCAGTTGGTGTTCGGCCGTCGTTGTTGTTAGTGATCGCGCTGTGTACTGAAATTTTTTTTTTTTAATTCCCTTTAAAATGGCTGGCAAGTGTAAAAGTGAGAGTTCTTGTGGTGCTGAGAAGAAAAAGAGACAGTCAATTTCTTTTGAGATGAAAATGAAAATAATAATGCAATATGAAAATGGAAAAACAGTAGCAACCACTTCACGCGACCTTGGCTTCTCTCACTCGACGATATCAACAATTTTGAAGGACAAGGAACGAATTCGTGAAGTAATGAAAAGATCAGCACCTATAAACGGAACAATAATAACGAAAAATAGACAAGGTCCTCTTCATGAGATGGAGAAATTACTTGTGATGTGGATGGAAGATCAGCTGCAAAAGCGTGTACCCTTAAGCCTTCTAACCATACAGGCTAGGGCAAGAAGCCTTTTCGAAAGCCTGAAAGAGCAGGCAGGAGATGAGTGCGACCAAAACTTCACAGCAAGTCATGGGAGGTTCCAAAGATTTAAGAAACATAACAATTTGCACAGTGTAAAGGTGAAAGGGGAGGCAGCAAGTGCTGATGTTGGTGCTGCCGAAGCTTTTAAGGAGGAGCTAGATCGTGTCATCGTGGAGGGAGATTATTTGTCAGAGCAAATATTTAATGTGGATGAAACTGGCTTATTCTGTAAGCGCATGCCAGAAGGGACATACATCCACAAAGAGGCGAAAACCATGCCGGGATTCAAGGCATTCAAGGACCGAATCACACTTCTGTTGGGGGGGAATGTAGCTGGTTTCAAGGTAAAACCCTTCATGATATACCATTCAGAGAACCCAAGGGCTTTTAAAAATGTCAGCAAGCACACACTGCCAGTGTTTTATCATAGTAATAAGAAAGCATGGCTGACCCTAGCACTGTTTGAAGATTGGTTCCTGTGTTGTTTCATTCCACGAGCCAAGGAGTATTGTCTGCAACAAGGGGATGTGTTCAAGATTTTATTAATTTTAGATAATGCTCCTGGACACCCACCACACCTGGACGACCTGCACCCTGATGTTAAGGTAGTCTACCTTCCACCTAACACTACCTCTATCATCCAACCCATGGATCAAGGTGCTGTTGCTGATTTTAAAGCGTATTATTTACCTACGACCTTCGCTCAGGCTGTTGCTGCTACTGAAGGTGAGAAAACGCTCAGAGAGTTTTGGAAGGACTACATTATGAAATGTATAAAGAACATAGCTGCAGCATGGGATGAGGTTACAGGTCAGTGCATGAATGGAATTTGGAGGAAGGTCCTGAAAAGATGTGTGAACAGTTTCAAAGGATTTAATGAAGATGAAGCAATTTCTGAGATTAGTAACAAGATAGTGGGGTTGGGTAAACTGCTGGAGTTAGAAAATGATAATGAAGATGTTGAGCAGTTGATTGAAAGTGTAGCAGAAGAGCTAAGTAACGAGGATCTTATTGAACTGGATGCACAGAAAATTGCAGAGGAAGAAGAAAGACAAAATGTAGAAGAACCTGCACCACCCAAAAAATTTTCAGTGAAACAAATGGCAGAGGCATTTGGTACTACAGTGGTCCCTCGGTTAACGAATGGTTCGATCAACGAAATTTCGGTTAACGAATTACCTTCCATAAGGATCTTCAATTCGGTTAACAAACAAAACTTCAATTAACGAAATCCTTACAAACAACACATTTTGTTGTGAGCATCAGCTGATGATGGGCTAGTCTGCCAATTCAGTAATCTGTTCTATGTTTACAATCGTTTCCAGTGGAGTAAATATCTAGATGTGCTCTTCAATATTTTTGCATTTTTTGTATTAAAATTATGTCATTTTAAAATTTAGTTAACATATTGATAATATAGTGTATGCAGTACAGGGAACTAGTTTTTTGTGCGCCCATCAGCCGCTTGACTCAGCCACCAGGCGTCAGTTTGGCTTTGTTGACAGTGGAGTGAACATCTATTTTGTTAGTGTCTTGAATATTTTTGCATTTTTACATTTAAATTATTGGTCATTCTGAAATTTAATTAACATATTGATAATATAAAGCGCAGTGTTGATTTAAATAAAATAATCTTGAATTACACCTAGTGAACTTAAAATTTTATTGGTGAAATGACGGCATCAAGCATGGGTCCCCTGAAAGACGATTTCTCCTCCATCCCCACTTCCTTCTCTTCTCCCTTCTCCTCCACCCCCACTTCTAATTCTCATCATCATCAACCAGGAACCTTCTACATACACACCTCAAAGTAAGTGTACTTTACTGCATTTTTTTTACTTTGTATATACTTTTCTGTGAGCTGGAACCAATTACCCAATATCCCTTTGAAACAATGGATTCGGTTAACAAAATTTTAACTTAACGAATGACTCTGTGGAACGAATTGTGTTCGTTAACCGAGGGACCACTGTAATAATAAGGGGACGCAAATGTTTGACGAAATGGATCAAAATGTTGAGTGTTTTTCAAAAGTTGACAGATTGATCCAAGATGCACTTGCTTGCAACAGGGAGATTTACAATGAAAAGAAAAGGCAAACTGTGTAGTCTAAATTGGACATATATTTTAAGAAATCCCCCACTGCAGTCTCCTCACGCCCCACCAGTGCTGCCTCTTCACTCCCTAAAGATGATCCAATACCTTCAACAAGCAAGTATGTTAGCCTGTCTGAAGAAAGCAAAACTGATGACCCACCCAGCCCTGTCTCCTCCTCTGCTTCATCCAATTAATGTAGTCTCCATATTTAATAAAAAAATTATTGGGGCCCCGTGAGCATTCAGCTGACTACATTAAAGATAAGTGCACAGTAATACTTTATTAATTTTCATTATTGATTACTTTTACTGTACTGTATTTCATTTTAGATTTTCTATGTATTATTTTTGCCTTTTCGATTTACGACCAATTCAACTTACGACCTGGTCGTCAGTCCCTAACCCCGTTGTAAATCGGGGACTGACTGTATCTTGTATCACTAAGGATATTATAGTCCATCCTAGTAAAGCCATTTTCCTTATTACAGAGCAAAAGAGTACAAATTATAATGCTCAAAGGTGGCTTAGAAATAGAAATAAAGAAAATATAATATAAAACTATAAAATAAGAAAAATGAAGTGTGTGTGTGTGTGGGGGGGGGGGGAGGGACATATGTGAAGGCAGTGATTTGTACTGCCTGAATGATTCACCCACCTCCTTCCCTCTCATGTGACGTCATGGTAGACACACATACACACACGTCTCGGTCAGCTGGTTAACTGCCTGGCTGAACTGTGATGTTACTCAGATAATGGTTTGAGTGTGGAAGGAGCTATCTTTTCTACATAAAAAATGGGCTGTTTTATTTTATATACTATGCTATGTATCAATTTTATTTTTTATCATAGCATTTTTTTTAAAGTGGTTATAGCGCTACTGGTGTCAAAGACGTGGATAAACAACTTCAGTTGTTTTTGGAATGTTGGACTAAATTTGAATTTTTACCAAAGGGACAAAGTTGGGATACCTGGAAGATTCAGATAATTGAAATTAAGATAAAATGAATTGCACTGTAAATTAAATAAAGTTTACCACATTGGATTTACCGTAATAGAGGAGACGTTCTGCATACAGTGGCTGGCCCAACATGAATGGAGGAGGTTGTTGGGTGTTAATGGGTTAGTACTGCCCCAGATAGTTTGTGGTAAAATGTATAGTAGCTTATACCCAAATTATTGGGGTGCTGCAGCACCCTCCCTTCCCATGTCCATGTACAGGGTGGAGTGAGCCAGCACACACCGGATCACAACAATAGCAAAAACCAGACTGACCGAGCATGGAGCGTGGCGAGTGTTACCCATGCAGCCAAAAATGCTAAGATTTTCCAAGATAATTTTATATAACTCGGCATTTCCTAAGTTATTTTATAATAAATTTTGAGACCATATATGTGCCGAATTATATGAAATTCCGAGATATCAAATGCCGAGTTATCAAGGGTTTACTGTAATATACAGGAAGGGGGAACTCACATGAATATGATGAACATGGTCAAAACTTTGAAAGTATTGATTCAGATATGCTGGAAAGATTACACGGTGATGGTAGAGGATTGAGCAGTTGGTGGCTTCCTTCACACGGGACTGAACTTCACAGGCCAGGTCTAAGCGACGCAGAAGTACTAGAAGTGATGAGACATCTTCTTCCTGAATAAAAAAATTATCATTTAGAGGGATTTTCTCCACAAAAATGCTTTTATATTCTAAGTGATAGTCTTACCATTCTAAAAGAATCATTAATATGCCTTCCTCTTACTGTCAAACCTTACAATAAATCAGCCATCAAGTACACTACTCTACAGTAGATTCTGAACTCTCTGAATCTTGTCCTGTAATATTTATTTTTTGTTAAATTCCTTTTACCTATCTTGTGTGATTTGCATTCTCATTAAACTGTTTTACCATAATACTGACTTGTGGAATCTTTTATATAGTAGTTTTTTAAATAGAATTATTGCACAAATGAAAAACTCTCCAAATGTCTCAGAAGTTAAAGAATATGCTGATTATTTACCAGACATCATCTAAACCTTCCCATGGTAGAATCCAGAGTACAGTAATTAAATTTACCAGTTTACCCTTATATTATTGTACTAGAGGATACAGCTTATCTTACCCTTAATGCTCTAGCCTGATTAGCAAGTGATAGAGCCACACGTATGACCAGCCGCCGTTCCTTTGTCCCAGATCCTGACAGCATCTGCTCAACCAAAGCAAGTGCCATTAAGATGTCCAACCGACGGCCATCTAAACGTGCACTGGATACTCTTGTCTGTAAAGGTACATAATGTAAATTATGGTTTCTTATACTTTGAAAGCATTAAGTAATATACAACAATATTTATAGAGGAAATCCAAAAATGACAGACTTGGAACTATGAAGATGTATGACATCATGTAACTGTTACATGATGCTTCAATAACTAACACCAGAGGATCTATAAAATAAAAAGTATAGATTACTGTACTTTGCTCCTTTATGTTACTCAAATAAAATGCAAATACATGTACTGTATTGTACTTGTAATGGGCCCCTGTCTCATCAACAGAACATATTGTATAAATGGGTCAATACATCTGATATTATATTCAGATTCACCACCCTGTAACTTTCCACTGTCGTTGAGTAAGACATGAGTTGTACACGTGAGAGGGCAACTCTCCCAGGAGGGAGAGACCCATCGTCAGCATATTTGTAAGCCCGCACAGCGAGGCCCTTACTCCTTAGTCGCTCACAGAAAGTTATACCGTAAGGACGTGACCTAACGTTTATAATACATAAACGCTGTCCCTTTCTCATTCACTCCTATACAGTGGAACTTACGGTCGATCTACACTCAGGAATTATATATACAATCCTTTTATAATTAAACAAGGAACTGCCGTTTGGGTTTCGTTACTTAAACCCAAATAATAAATATATGTGAACGGCCTGGTTAATTGCACAAGTAGCCGATTCATACTCCTAACACACAGGTTTCACCACACAGTTCATTATGCTGACCTTTGCAGCAGAAACAATAGAGAGCACTTGGCATGTAAGATATTGCATAACGTGAGGCAGTGAGTCTGCCAGGAGGGAACTGTGACGATGATATGTGTTCTCTATGGCCTTCAGAGATTCCATGAGACGACAGACACTTAAGGCACATGCCTTTCCCATGGGACGACCAAGGATAGTGTGTAGATTGAGTACAGTCTCAATACTGTATTTGATTGTGTGTGCCAAGATCATCCCCTGGAAAAAAAAAATGAAAATTAGTTAGTCATTCAACATATAAAACCTTCTTCAACTTGTTATTACCAGTACAGTATCAAGGCCGATCATGTAATTCTTCCAGGTAACTTTGGTAAGAGTAAACTCGTCAATAATGATCAATGTACCAAAATATTTCCGTCTGGTGAACTATCTCTATATCATAAAAATATATTAAATCCTCATTATTTATTGCAAAATTACCCATTTTGCACAATATGTTACAAACAAGACAAAAGAGGATCTGATTCTTACAGTTTTTAATCCTTATCATTGTTTAAGGGTTAAAGAATTGCTTTCTATTAAGAAGGTAAAAGTTATACAAATTATATACAGTAGTACAGTACTTTTCAAATTTATATGATTCACATACCTGTAATAACAGAAAAGATCGCTGACTCAGGTCTTGATTTTTCATTTGACTTGAATGTTTCTTTGATGCAGCATCCAAGTTCACAGACCAACCACACACCTTTATGTAATCACTAAATTAAATACTGTACTGATACTGTATTTTCAGAAACAATAAATTACAGTACAGTACACACATACACACTGTAACTATTCATAAATATACAATACAGGTAAACCTCAAGATACGATATCCCGAGAAGCAACATTCTGCTTTAATGATGGTCATAAATTAAAACTATCTCGCTATATACAGTACAATCAAAATATCTCGCTTTAATGATATCCATCGAATAGCCATCGATATCCATTGGTTGGATATTTTTATCTGTAGTGCAAACTATGGGTTGTATATATTCAAATTAATTGCTATCTTACAAGGATTCCAGCAATGCAAATTATATTATTCTACGTCAAGTCAGCGACATTTTATAAGGAAAAGTTTTTTAACCCTATGCATGACACATCTCTACCTTCAATTGTAAGCCTACCTATGCAGCATCACAAAGCCAACTCGTGCACTACAGCCCTGTGTTTGGTCCTTTGTTGATAGTTAACCCACGATTATTGGCCAGCATTGTACATTATACTTATTTATCATCGGTGTTTTTTCTTATACGTATAGAGAGAGGACAGCACTAACATTTAGATTGAACTGTTTTATGGTGATTATGAAGTGATATTTTCTGTGTGTTTGAGACTGTAAGGTGTACGACTGTTGTTATGAAAATGTGAGCAGTGTCAGCCACTTTCATTGTTTTTGTTATCATCATCATTTACTCTGTTTTTATGAAAAGTACTTTTGCTGTTTTTGTAACTGTGAAGTGAGCAGCATAACTTTGAAAATGTCTGGGAAGGACGAGACATCCCAGACAACCGTGTTTCTGAGGTGAAGCTTGACAATGTTAAGCAGCATGAAACTCCCCAGAAGCTGTGACGTCTCCACTCCACCTACAAGAGTCCCCTTAGCCTTGAAGGGGACACGTGATGATGACCAGGCTTATTCTTCAGGATGTGTTTTGTCTGTGATACATGTGTCTTTGGGGACTGGCTGGGAACGTATCTCATTGAATCCCATGTTATAATGCTCCAATATCTACAATAATTCACCTAGCGATGGGTTTTCAGGAACCTAACCCCATTGTATCTCGAGGTTTAACTGTATTCACATACCTAACTGCCTACCAACATATGTACAGTGAGGGACTGAAGTATTTTCCCAGCTTAGGCAGAAATATAATGAAACCTGGTGATCATTCTGGAAGCATTACTGACACTTCATTCTCCTACTGTACATATCTATATAATTTATCCATGACTCTTACTCTATTTCCACCTAAACAGAGTGGAAGATGGCTACCAAATCAAACATTAAATAGTGTACTGTATAATTTTTATTTTTCAATCCACTTATCTAATTTTGTGTTGAATGAAACATTGAAAAACCCATTAAACAAATCAATAACAAAATATCATAATTCATGACTTTTAAACCAATGTGTTGATGGACATGCAAAATATACCTGATAGTATCACTAGCTACAATGTCACAATTCAACAATACAACACCAAACCCAAAATATTGTAAATAAAACAAGACCAAAAGGCAGAAAACATTCATCAGATTGAAAGACACAGAGTCATTGGAAAGATAAACAATGTCACCAGCATAAGTAGAAGGGTATAAAATAGGAATGCAACATATCAGTAAATTTTAAAAGCTAATACAGTACAGTATAGTGTAGGATAAGTTACAAAGAATAACATTACACAAATAGATGATTCAATAATTACCTGTAAGTTTACAGTTTGAGCCTCCTTGGCAATACTTTGACTCTTTTGTGCCAAGTGGTTGGTCCTGTAACTGAGCAGTGCATCCTGAGTTTTACGGTCAAAAAGTTGGCTCAGAGTAGGAGCTACTGTTGGAATATATTGTTCCCCGAGCCATACAACTGAGCCCACCAATGTAATACATGGGATCTGCAATAACACAGAGATATCAACAATATATTATACAGTAAAAAGTTTAAAAAAATTATCCGGGAATGGCATCTTCATCCAATCAGAGTACATCACTTGGGGAGGATTGTCTTTGTAGATTTTTACAAAACATATTTTCCGCAAAAATTGATGATTACAAAAAAGTAAATGAAGAATTTCTCCATCATCTGAAAGTTACTGACCTACCCAGGAACATATTAATATATCATTCAAATATCTATTTCCTCTTCTGCTTCAAACTGCTAATTCATTATATATCCATCCTAATCTGGATTTTCTTAAATGAAGCACAAGCACAGTATAGGTTTGAATCAGCTGACCTTTTTAAAAAATTTCTGCTTTATGTAAGGTGACCAAAAACATGAGCAAATACATATGAAGACATCTGCCTTATATATGTTGTTATTCATTCTTATTACTACAGTACAGATGACATGTTCTGCTGTGGGTATCACCTTTCACAACAGGACCCTAAATCTGGGTTACCCTTGAGTAGGCTGTTCCTTACCCAAAAATCAGTTGAAAACAAGCTCATTCCATTCGGTCACACACCCTACTGCTTCCTGTACATCTATGCCCCTTAATTTTTATCACTTGTATACAGGTATCAGTATTCATACAAGTAACTTACAAATCACTTCCTCATACAGTATACAGTACATAATTATATTTCCCACAACTGATTTATTCTTTTCCTAGTTCTTATGATATTACTTGGCTCAATTACTTTATAAATGTCCTGTTATAACCTTCTATTTAACAACCTTCATCAGTAATAATGATAATACAATGTACAGTATAGGGGTCCCCAGGTAACGAACGGGATCCGTTTCTGAGGACGTTCGTAAGTTGGATATGTATGTAAGTCAGAACACATGCTATATGCATACCATACTTAGAAAACAATGTTTAAAATTCCACTACAGTGGTCCCTCGGTTAACGAACGCCTCGGTTAACGAATTACCTTCCATAAGAATCTTCATTTCGGTTAGCGAACAAAAATTCGGTTAACGAAATTCTTATGAAAAAGTTTTGGCATGCTTTGGCTTGCTCACCAGCTGGAAGATTAGTCCGCCAATACAGGGGCTCCCCGACTTACGATGGGGTTAGGGACCCAAATCCAGGTCGTAAGTCCGACATGGTCGTAAGTTCGACATAGATAAAAAAATAAATAAATAAAATAAATAAAAATAAAAATCTACAATGAAATACAGTACACTAAACGTAATAAATAATGAGGAATGGATACAGTACAGTAAAAGTAATAAATACCAGTGGGGTATGCTATAACGAACGGATCCTACTACGAATATTCCTATAACGAGCGGTTTTACCTATAAAATTGAGAATGCTATAACGAACGAAACTCCTACAACGAACATTATTTAAAAAAAAAATTTTTTTTTTTTTACTAATTTATTGTTTTTTTATTACAAGTATTAATGATATTGGTTATTTCAGGGGTTTAGATGCATATTTATGCACTTTTTTACAATTTTTACAATTATATATTATATTTTTCAGTGTTAAGTGGTTGTATTTGGTGGCCTGGAACGGATTAATCCTATAACGAACGAATGCTATAACGAACAAGGTTCTAGAACCAATTAGATTCGTTATAGCATACCCCCCAACAATATATATGTATATATATATATATATGTATATATATATATATATATATATACTATATATATATATATATATATATATATATATATATATTTATATATATATGTATATATATATGTATAAATATATATATATATATATATATATATATATATATATATATATATATATATATATATAATATATATATATATATATATATATATACACACACCTAAACCCCGACTTACGACGGGGTTAGGGACTTAAATCAGGTCGTGAAGTCCGATATGGTCGTAAGTCCGATATAGATAAAAAAAAAAAAAAGTTTTTTTTTTTCAAATTTTTTTTAAAAATCTACAATGAAATACAGTACACTAAACGTAAAAAATAATGAGGAATGGATACAGTACAGTAAAAGTAATAAATAATGAGGAATGGATACAGTGTGACTGAGCACTTACCTTAAATGTAGTCAGCTGAATGCACACGGGGCCCCCATAATTTTCTATTTACTGGATACATGGAGACTATATTAATTGGAAGAAGCAGAAGAGGAGACAGGGCTGGGTGGGTCATCAATGTTGCTTCCTTCAGACAGGTTTATGTACTGTGGTAACTTGCTGGTTGAAGGTATTGGATCATCTTGAGGGAGTGAAGAGGCAGCACTGGTGGGGCGTGAGGAGCCAGTACTGGGGGACTTCTTGAAATAGGTGTCCAATTTAGACTGCACAGTTTGCTTTTTCTTTTCATTATAAATTTCTCTGTAGCAAGCAAGTGAATCTTGGATCATTCTGTCAACTTTGGCATAACGCTCATAATTTTGATCCATGTCATCAAACATTTGCATTGCTTTATTAATTGTAGCAAATGCCTCTGCCATATGTTTCACTGAAAACTTTTTGGGGGTGCAGGCTCTTCTTCTACATTTTGTCTCTCTTCTTCCTCTGCAACTTTCTGTGCATCTAGTTCAATAAGATCCTCGTTACTGAGCTCTTCTGCTACACTTTCAACCAACTGTCCAACATCTTCAGTATCAATTTCTAACTCCAGCTGTTTACCTAAGTCCACTATCTTGTTACTAATATCCAAAATAACTTCACTTTCATTAAATCCTTTGAAACTGTTCACATATCTTTTCAGGATTTTCTTCCATATTCCATTCATGCAATGTTTTGTAACCTGATCCCATGCTGCACTAATGTTCTTTATTCATGACAAAATGTTGCACTCCTTCCAAAACTGTCTGAGCGTTTTCTCACCTTCAGTAGCAGCAACAGCCTGAGCGAAGGTCGTGCGTAAATAATATGCTTTAAAGGCAGAAATAGCACCTTGATCCATGGGTTGGATGATAGAGGTAGTGTTAGGTGGCATGTACACTACCTTAACATCAGGGTGCATGTCGTCCAGGTGTGGTGGGTGTCCCGGAGCATTATCCAAAATCAGTAAAATCTTGAATGGAATCCTTTGTTGCAGACAATACTCCTTGGCTCGTGGAATGAAACAAGTCATGAACCAATCCTCAAATAGTACTAGGGTCATCCAGGTTTTCTTGTTACTGCGATAAAACACTGGCAGTGTGTGCTTGCTGACATGTTTAAAAGCCCTGGGGTTCTCTGAATGATAGATCATGAAGGGCTTTAGCTTGAAACCAGCAACATTCCCCCCCAACAGAAGTGTAATTCTGTCCTTGAATGCCTTGAATCCGGGCATTTTTTTTGCCTCTTTGTGGATGTATGTCCGGTCAGGCATGCGTTTCCACAATAATCCAGTCTCATCCACATTGAATATTTGCTCTGGCAAATAATTCCCTTCCACAATCACATCATCTAACTCCTCCTTAAAAGCTTCGGCAGCACCAACATCGGCACTAGCTGCCTCTCCACTCACCTTAACACTGTGTAGACTGTAGCGTTTTTTAAATCTATCAAACCACCCTTGACTTCCTGTAAAGGTTTGATCACATTCATCTCCTGCCTGCTCCTTCAGGCTTTGGAACAGGCTTCTTGCTTTAGCCTGTATGGTTAGAACACTTAAGGGTACACGCTTCTGTATCTGGTCTTCTATCCATATCACCAATAATTTTTCCATATCGTGGATAGGACCTTGTCTTTTCTTTGTTATTATAGTTCCGTTTATAGGTGTTGTTCCTTTCACTACTTCACGAATACGTTCCTTGTCCTTCAGAATAGTGGATATAGTCGAGTGTGAGAAATCTAGGTCGCGTGAGATTGTTGCTACTGTTTTTCCATTCTCATACTGTGTTATTATCTTCAGTTTCATCTCAAAAGTAATTGCCTGTCTCCTTTTCCTTGGAGTACCACCAGCACTCTCACTTTTACGCTTTCCAGTCATTATAAAGTCAATTAAATACAATAATAACGAAAGTTCACAGCGCGATCAGTATAGGATACGATAGCCAAACACAAACAAAGCGCTCCACTGAGTGAGTGCAGCCACGAAGCGACCCAAGACACCCCTCCCTCTCGCCCGGGACGGAAACGTTTCGGTATAGAAAATGCGCGCGTCATTTGAAAAAATTTTTGGTCACGGCGGTCGCAGTCGTATGTCCCGTATGGACGTACGGTCAAAGCAGGTCGTAAGTACCATTGGACGTAAGTCCGTATAGTCGTAAGTCGGGGTTTAGGTGTATATATATATATATATATATATATATATATATATATATATATATATATATATATATATATATATATATATATATATATATATATATATATATATATATATATATATATATATATATATATATATATATATATATATATATATATATATGTAATGCTACAAAATATTCACAAAAAGAAGATTACATATAGGTAGAATATTGATAGTATGAGAGTATAAAGAGAGGAAGATTTTGGTAGCGTGGCCGTGATATATATTTACACTGCCAGTACACTTATCGTACACTGGTCGTGTCTTACACGTCAATACACATATATTACGTTCTTAAGAGGCGACTTCTCAAACACTGCTTCGTTACAACTCTTTATTAATTACGAACATGACATGGACACATTAATAACACCTTCTATTGAAGTTACTAGGACATTATATTACGTTACTAGACGCTCTGACTCTCGGACACGAACATGAAATGAATACACTTCCCACATAAGTAACTCATCCCGTGGAAGGCTCTGACAAACACTCACGTGACCTAGGGAAGGCCTAGCAGGGAGACTGCTTAGCTGGAACACTGGTGTCGGGAGGGCGACTGCTTAGCTGGGACACTGGTGTCGAGAGGGCGACTGCTTAGCGGGGACACTGGTGTCGAGAGGGCGACTGCTTAGCGGGGACACTGGTGTCGGGAGGGCGACTGCTTAGCTGGGACACCGGAGGGAAGTCG